AAGCAATCTGTTAGAAAATGAAAATCAAACATCTGTGATCTGTCCTTTCTGTTTTAAAATCCCGCATTATCTCCTGCTCAAATTCATCAGTTCAGCGTGTTTGCTTCCAGACAAAGTCCCATAGCAGGACTTAATTGTCTTCCCATTTCAAGGGTGAGCACTATAGGCTAGCTCTCCCTTCTCCAAACCCCATTCGGATCACAATGAAACTCCAAAGTGCGGCCCTTTGCAATCTAATGAATACTACACATTCTGAAGTTTATTATTTTTATTCTTATAAAATATTGATAGATGGATCAAATTAAGAAAATATAGAATTCATTGTTTTTGCAGAAATCCAGAGGTCAACGTCTTAACTATCTTGGATTATTCAAATCACCTGGCTACCACGGGCATTAATAAATAAAATAATTCTGCCATCTTCAACTATCTTTTTCCACAATCCACATAATGTGAAACAAAAAAAGAAAGGTATCTTTCTTTCAAGAATTCGGCATATACAATTATTCTCAGATCTTCCACTGAAACTTTAGGAGAAATGGAAGTGCTCTCTAAGGGTTTGTTTGAACCCAATTATTTGGAAAAATAGATTTTGAAGTAGTGACTTTTTTTTTGAGAATGTATGGTTAAAAAGTAGGAAAAAATTTCGATTTACATGAAAAATTATTTTATTGGGAGATGTGGTTGAAAATAAGTTTGCCGATAAATAAGTTTTTCAAGAATGGGGTTCAAACAGGTCTAAATACTTGCAAACAGCAGGAGTGCGCCTGCCTAACTCCATAACTAGAGCAAGTTCCTTCCAGATGGGTTTTAAAAAAAGAAAGGTTAGGAAGCTGATTTCTGGAGTTATAAAATATTTCTTTCACACTTGTTTGAGAAAATATTTTCAGTTTAATTACAAAAGAAGTTCAAGAAATCTATATTTTAATGTTTTCTTCAATCTCAATTGTACAGTTTCCTGGCTCACTAGCTTGCTTGCCCGATCAATCCATGGAATGGACTGACTTCCCAGCAAAGAATAGGAGGTTCCTTCAGAAGTTCTCATCCTCCCCCATCCCAACACCAAAAAAACGAAGTAAAAAAACAAAAAATTAAATTAAATTAAATTGAAGCAGAAGCATATTTAATTCATGAATCTCAAACTCCAAATTTGAATTTGGTATATTTCTTACCTGTAAAGTTGCTCACAGAGTACAACTAAGGCAATTTCATGATTCAAGACCAAAGTTGACAATTTGATCGATACATTGGCCCTCTCTCTCAACTGCCTTCCATGACCATAAGGCCCACCTATGCAAAGTAGTAAGCTTGAAGCTCCCTATTGAAAAGGGAAACCTGTCATCCATCAGAAAGTCTAGGGGCCTGACATCAGAGCTAGAGCTAATTTTCTTTATTACTTGTGCATACTTACCACTCATCCAAAATGGACGTGGTAATCATATAATAGGACAATGCATGTTTTTATAAACGTTTGTTCCCTATTTCACATACTAATATAGTAGATCCACTACAGAAAGATTTTTAAACAGAGAGTCTTTCATACTTTGTTACCAGCATCCCCAATCAAAGAAGCCATTTGCTCAGATCCTACATCGAGTCCATGCTCATCTAACATTACAACCTGCACTCGTACAATTAGAAACAAAGAACACAGCAACTGAAAATAAAAATTAATGCTACACGTTCCATAAGAATAGAATTTCATAGTGGTACATCAAGAATTAAAACCAGACACGAGTCTAATTGCTTAATCCAAAACCATGATTGTTATTCCAAGTAAATTGTTTGATCTCATTTGCTCACAAAGTATACTAATGGAACATCAGGATAAGGTAAAAATGGTAACAGAAAATGTATAATACCCGTTATAAATGATTACGATTTAACATTGGATAAAATTCTTTAAAGAAAATGACCAAAAAAAGATCCATCAAACACCAGTAACAGTTATGAGGCTCAAAATGTTACAAGTAACTGATCAAATCATGTAAAAATTCGTCCATAGAATGATCAAATCAAGAAAAATCGATGTCTTTTGGTTTCAGTTCAAAAAAGAAAGTCAATAAAGGACATAAATTCAAACGGTGATCTAGACAGGCAAAGTTGGGGAATACCCATTCATTGGATCTGATTAGGTCCATCACAGCCATATCTTCATGTTCAATCTGAGCTATAATATCCCTAGTACAGTACACAACTTATCATTAATGAATCATGAAATGAACGAAAATACGATAGACCAAAGTTCTTTTAATAAGGATAACTAAATTAAATTCAAAATTAATGATAAAATATGCTAACCAATTCCTTATCATCATTGTTTTTAAAAAGCTATTGAGGCTTGGGCACACCTCACGAAAGGCCTTTCTTAAGGGCCACAAAGCTTATTCCTCAAGGTGAACCTTACAAGAGGCTGAGTGTATTTTGTCAAGCATAGGCGCTCACTTCAAGGCATATGCATAAGGGTCACCAAGTCTGCGCTCCTTAATCTTACCATTTTCACGCTATTATTACCGGCTTCGCTTTTTAGATGATTTTTTCATGACCTGGAATGCTCGAAAGGCCTTTCGGCCAGTTTCAAGACAGCCCAATCCTGAAAACTATAAGTGAAGAGAATAGGTGTAGAGTCTTGTGTGTCCTACACTCCCATGACTGAAATGCGTTCAACCTCCAAGTCAGGTTGCATGGTTCAAATGGTAGATGGCCAGACACATTCTTAGTTTACATAATTACTATTATATTTTTCCCATAATTGCCTTCTTTCTTGCCTTTTTCCTCTTCGGGTTTTCTTTCTTTACAATCAAACCAAAAAAATTGTTAGTTAGCCAGTAATTTGTTCTAGACTTTAGTTCTAATTGTAGATAAGTAGTTTTGTTATGTAATTACTAGCTTGTTGATTTACTTTTTACTAATTCGTTCCCCGATTTTATGTTCCCAAATGGTAAATTAGTCTGCTAATCTGTTAAAAAAATTTCTTGATCATTATAATTCATCCATCCATCCCTATAGTATGCAGAAATAAATGTAATTAATCGTAAGTAATATTGAAAATTCAGAACGGCAACCCACCGAGCATTTTTAGGATTGGACTTTACTCGAACATCCTCTACGCGGCAATAGTGCTTGAGCTTGTCTATATAATCATCGACAATGAGTTGAACCCCCGGCGACCTCTTCTTCCCTACCGTTAGTATTCGAATTGGCAATGCTTTCTGCACACTCATAGTTGAAGAAAATCATTTCAACCAAAAATTCAACAAATTATTATTTTAAAATGTATAGGAAAGAGATTTTATTTACCACTGAATGGCCGGCATATTTGCATCTTTCACCTGCAGATAATAATACACATTTCAAATGGATTATGTCATAAAAAGCAAATATTGAAGTGCAGAATGGGAAAAGTGAAAGGGAAGAAGAACCTGTAGGGCTTGAGTAGTGGGTTTTGCAAGTGGCGATTAGAGAAATTGCCATGGATGCAATTGAATATGTGAAGTGAAAATGCAGCACCAC